ATGTGACTGGCGACGGGGTCGCGCCCCGCTCGGGCCCCGGCGCCAGGATTGCATAACGAGCGGAGGTCAAGAAGCCCCGCGCCGAGCGCTGAAACCGACGGCGCCGGCCACGCCAGTCATTCAGTTCGATTGCGGGCCCGTGGACCTACGGCTCAGGGCACGGGCTCACCGTCGCGGCGGGCGGCAATCGGAGGACGGGCTCCCTGTCTCCTCGCGGGGGCGGCCATCGAGGCGACGGGCGTCTGGAGCTACGGCGCGACGGCGGCCGGCGAGTTCCCGGGGGGGGCTGGGCTGCGTGGGCATGGGGGTTTCAGCGCGACTGCGAGCCAGCGCCGGGGTCGCGGTTCTCGCCGAAAGGGCCAAGGAGCTCGACCAGGGGGCGGCGGAGGCGCAGCCGCGGCAGCGCATCGCGCCGAAGGGCAGACGCCAAACGGGGTCGAGACGGCGGCTGGTTCGGCCGGGACTGGCAGGCCCACGGCACTCAGATCGCGGATGACATGCCCGTCGCCCTTTGGATTGCGAGGAGCCTGGCGTCTTGCTCCAACGGGCGCCGCGCGAGGTGGAGCGGCGGCCGCGCGTTGTTCGACGGGCTGCGAGTCGCGCCCGGCACTTCACCCAGGCCGGACTTCGAGGGGGCGGTGGTCGACAAGAACCAAGTGGAGTTGACCGAGAAGCATGTCGCGGTCTGGCACAAAGGCGCGCGGCTAGGCCGCGACAGCATGGCGCGCGCCCGCCTCGCTGGAACGGCTACTGGCGCTGCGCGGGCGCGGGGGGTCAAGCAGTTGCCCCGGGTGGATGGGGTCGGGCGCGCAGGGCGCTAGGTCCATGCGTTGGGCGCCCTGGGGGATTTGTGCACGGGCGGAGGTTAGCGAGGGTAAGAATTGACATCCTACGGATGGGCGTCCTCTGCGCAAGTACGAGGTTAAGGGTTTGCACGGTCGAGGACGGCCACCGCGCCTTTCGAGGGCGCGCCAGCAGCGGCGTGCCGCGCGCGAGAAGGTCATCGCCAATTGGAAGGGGGATTGGCCGCAGGTCGGCGCGGTTCCTGCCCGGTCCTGGCGGCCCCCGAGTGGGATCAGCTTGCGTCTGGATGTCAGCCCGAGTCTGGAGGCCAACCCTGGTTTGGAGGCCAGCCGGGCGCCTGCCGCGCCCGGGGGCAAAAGCGGTCTGACCCGGCCTCGCAGGCGCGACGGCGCGCGCGCATGAGGCGGCGTGGCTGGCAGGGCGTGGCTTCCAAGATGTCGACGTCAGCGAATCGAAGTGCGGACGAAAGTGACCTTGGCGAGGGGGGCCCAGGAGGTTCACCTGGGGGTCGAGGCGTCGCGGGGACTACCGTGGCGTTGGACGGCGAGGAGTTGGCGCTGCTCGCGGCAGAAGTCAGCAACGTGGGGATGATGGCTCTCGCCAACGAGGTCGGCAGCGCGACGAGCGAGGATAGTGACGTCAGCCCGGCGCTGGGCTGGGCAGCAGGCGGGGAGTGGAACGCGAAGCAGGTGGATGCGGATTGGTTTGACGATTCCTCCGCGCGGGTGTTGGGTTTACAGGTCGCAGCGGACCAGGAGGCCCTGACGTGGGCGCGGGTGTCTGGAGATGGGGGGCGGGGCGCCCACGGCCAGGTTGTTCCTGAGACCTTGCGGCAAGCAGGTGGCGAATAATCAGAGCGAAATATTGTCCCGCGCCGCTGTCGCTACCCCTCGAACCGCTGATGCGCTGCGCTACTATCGAGGCTTGCATGGTCTACTTGTTGCGCGCGTCGAGGTCGTCCCTGCGCGCCCTCATTCGTGAGTTGGTCTACGCAGAGGTGCCGAAGCAGCGCTGCCACCTGCCGGGCAGCTCCGACTGGGTTTCGAGCTGGACATGACGGTGCACGGACTGAACGAGGCGATCTCTGATTTCGGCGACCACTTCGCACGCGTTGCCACGGGGGGGAACGAAAAGTCAGAGATGAGAGTCAAGGGGGCCCCCCAGACCCGCGCGCGCTCGCTGGCAAGGAGAGCCAGGCGGCCGCGCCCAAGCGCGCGGTTGATAGCGCAGCGCGCACGGAGTCCAGGAGGTGGCGCCCGCAATAAGCGTGAGGAAATCGGTGTTCATCTCCTCCGGAAGGTTTCTGCGATTGTAGCTGGAGGCCCCGAAATCGAGTGCCTTGGTCGTCGATGGTTTTGCGCGCCTTCGGGCATCCAGGCACGCGCGTGGCACGCGATCGTCACGCGACCCCTCTGTTGCGCCGACCCCGATGATGAGGGGGCGAGCCCAGTGCCGGGACTCACGGACGAGAAGAAGGTCGATCGATGAGGAGTTGAATTCCACGCTGGCTACCAGGTATCCCAGCGCGAACGGTCTCGACGCGCTCGCTCGCCTGGAGCGCCCTGGGGGGCCGTGGGCGGCCGAGGGGCGCTCGAGGGAAACGCCCGGGCCACGCGATCAGGGCCAGGGGGGGCCAGGATCGCGAGGTCCTGTCGAGGCTTCCCGTCCGCAAACGCATGCATCTATCCTGAGAGGGGGGGCCACCTCGGCAGGAAGTCTACGGGCTGCGAGCTGCTGTTCCTGAAAGGGGCCATTCTGGCGCTGTTCGTTCAGGCGCAGGGTGCATGGGCCTGCGCGGTGCCTGTAGTTCTGCGGAGTGGCGGCGCCTTTGCCTCTGCGAATGTTGAGAAATGAGATTGGAAGATTTGCGCATTATGGACCTGGCCGCCAGGAAGGAGGAGTCGAAGGCCGGCGCCAACAAGGCGCGCGCGGATGCGAGCACGGCGGGCGCAGGCACCGAGCATCCGAGCAGGCGGCGCTTCATGGCGGCGACGAAGGTCCACCCGACAGGTCAGGGAGAAAACGGCTCAGTTACAAAAGGTAGCGCTCCGAACAAAAAGATCGTCAAGCCTACGACGGAGATGGCCGAGGCGCTCGCGAGGTGCCTGGTCGGAGCTGCAGCTTTCCTTCTTCTGGATCTCGCCGTTGGGGCGAGCGGCCTGGTCAGGTGCTTATCCAGCGGCGTGAAGGGGCGCGAGCAATTCTGGCTACTGCGTTCGCGCGGCTTGCATGATGTTGGGGGCGCTTTCGACTGTCGTCGCGCGGTGCCCGGCCCGCCGGCGGAGGCGCCAGGATGCGCGAGCGACTCGCGGATCCCACGGGGCCTGGTGCAGCATGAAGGACGAATGCATCCGTGAGGCCAAGGTTCAGATCGCATCGCATCTGCGCGCTCTCTTCGCCGCCGTCAGGATCGAGGAGGTCCGCCCCTACTTAGGGGCTGGCGACTCTACGACAGCACTCGGGACGCCGAGGAGAAGTTGGTGGAGTTGTGTTCTACAACGGCCAGGGGCGCCATCCATCGCTGCCAGGCTCATGGGGTCCACGATATTCTGGAGTAGCGTCTGCCTCCATGCTACTATCTTGGGCGATGGCGAGACAAACCAGGAACCGACCTTCCTTGGCAAACGCATTCGCTGGACCCGGAGAGCAGTCCAGGAAACAAGGGTCGGACATGGTTTTTTCTTGTAAGTGACTATTGTTGTGCATTTTCTGCGCTAGGAGTAGAATGATCTGCGCGCACGCACTTTGCGTGTGCGCTGGGCTGTTCTAGGGCCAGTTGGTAGTGACCGTTCATGCTGAGGAGAGTATGGAGAGTGCGAGTTTACCAATCCCTGTCGGGATCAGCCCCGTGGAACCCCAGATACACCATCCTGCACTCCCCTTGTATAGATGTATACATATATATATATATATATATATATATATAGAGAGTGATATGTGTATATATATATATATATATATATATATATATTGAACGATTGCAAGGCCAACTATACAACAATATGGGTGTTTACCGGTATCCTAATGATTTGGGCCAACACGCCAGACGAACACAAAACATGTCGTCAGGCCGGCCCGTACTTTGTTCGACCGAGCAAGCGAAAGAAGGAATTGCGCGTGGAGCAGCGGCGGGCCCCGTGTCCGTGCAGATTCGGCGTTGTCTCCGTCGTCAAGTCGGCCGGCAGTGGCCTCGTGCTTCGGGGGTGCCCTCTCTCACACGCGGATGTGGTGCCCGCGCGGCAGATCCACGGATCCGTGATCGATATTGGCGTGGGCCCATTTCGCTCGTTACGAGCCTGGAAATATCCCTATCCCTATGTTGGGCATCTCTTCATCACGATGCCAATCTCAGGGATTCCTTTATTTTTGAGGGCGAATCCCTAAGAGTGTCATCGCGTTTTGGCGTGTCAATCTTAGGGATAGGGATACGTTCGAGGCTGGTAAATTCGGGGGCAACGTCATGGGCGGACTGGCCCGGGGCATGGGGAAGCATCGACCCCCGATCGCCAAAGTGTCGCCCGTCGGGGCCGGGGGCCCCTTACCCCCCAGCGCGCTGCTTCGCTATCGGAGGGCTCGTCGCTGATCCCTCGGCGTTTCATCGCTAGACTTCCAGACTTCCAAGTCAAATTTTCTCGCCCTGGGAGAGTGTGAGGGGGTGGCTACGGGGGGTGACATGGACGGTGGGAGAGCAGAGTGGGGAAGGAGAGAAGAGAGGGATGGCGAAGGGAGAATGACGCTTCAGGAATCGAGAGATGATGATGGCGGTCGTGGTGATGATGGTGGTAATGATGACGATGAGGAGGAGGAGGAGGAGGAGGAGGAGGAGGAGGAGGAGGAGGAGGAGGAGGAGGACGAGGACGAGGACGAGGACGAGGACGAGGAGGAGGAGCGGATGGGGAGGAGACGGACGAGGAGGAGGAGGACACGGAGGGATAGGGAGAAAACGGGAGGAGGACGAGGAGGAGGGGGAGGAGAAGGAGAGGAGGAGGAGGAGGAGGAGGAGGAGGAGGAGGAGGAGGAGGAGGAGGGAAATGGTGGGGAGGAGGAGGGAAATGGTGGGGAGGAGGAGGGAGCCGGGGGAGCGACACGGGAGGGAACGGCACGTGGAGGAGTGAAGGGTTGCAGGAGCGCGGCGCAGAGGGGGCCCTGACGGGGCGGGGGGAAGCGGCGCATTCGGCGCGGGCGCCTGCGGGCAGGACCCGGAGGCGACGACCCAGGCAGTAGAGCAACTGGGCCAGCACGTGCAGGAGCCGTGAGCCCAGACGGACGGACGGTTCTGTGACGTCTTCGGCCTCCGTGGGTCCTCGCTGGGCCCTCGCTGTGCCTCGGGGCCGTCAGAGACAACTCGCGATGACACGCCGGCCCTGGGGAAGGTTTGGGACTTCACTGCCGGGGATCGCGCAAGGAAGCACACACACGACATGGTATGTCTTGAGTGGGGAGGATGGGGGGAGAACTCAGGGAGATTTTCCGCCATCACCAATCGATATGGAACAGGGAGGGGGAGGAAGAGACGTGGGTGGGGGTGGGGGGGAGAGAGTCGACTGCGACTTCCTGCTGGTCTCGGCCGCGTTCGCGTGTAAGCCCTGCTATGGGCCTGGCTGGCGCCGCTCCTCCCCGTTTGGAGGGAGGAGAAGCGATACCAGCACCTCCAGGGGGCCCACCTCCAGCGAGGAGGTCCACGATGCCTCCCCGAGCTGGATGCTGGGGATGTCTCGAGCGCGAGGGGGGGGGCCACACCACCAGGGAGACTCCCCTTGCCTCCTCGCACCTCCTCGCCCTGCTGGTGTTGGTGTCGCCTTTCCTTGTTCCCACCCCTCCGTCCGGCGGCCGCTGCTTGGTGACCAGGCACGCTGGCCAGGCACTGGGCAGGGGCTGCTCACAGGGGGACGGGTGGGGCCGGCGCCGCGCCATGGGAGGGGTTTGCGCCGGCACCAAGGAACAGTGCTTCGGAACTGCGGTTCATTGGATGGAGAGGAGGGATGGAGGAGGAGGGAAAGGGAGGGGGGAGGGAGGGAGTGCGGAAGTGCAGCTTCTGCAGGGCAGCGCACTGCAGTGCATGAAAAAACACAACTCGTTGTTTTGCAGCGCGTTGCATTCGCATGGGCGGTGCGCTTCGCAAGAGGGAGAAGAGGTTGAGCAGGAGGATGAGGAGAGGTAACGTCTCGGCTCCGGCGGCTGGAAAAGGAGGGGCGAGGGGGAGGAAGAGAAGGGGGACGAGGACGAGGATAAGGACGAGGACGAGGGAACCCCACCCACTATATAGTCTACGCCCGACTTTGAAGGACAGACCAGCGTGGAGCCGCAGCTCAGGGGGCATGTAGCGTTTCAGCTGACGCTGCTGCTGCCGCTGCTCCGCCGCCGTCGTTTCTTAGTTTTCTTGCTCTATCTCGCCATCGTCCCTGGGGGACTTCGACCGCCTACCCTGGACCGAGAAAGAAGCAGATGGAGGCCTCCTCCTTTCTAGCTCTTCGTTCTCCCTTCTACCCTAGCTCGTTTCGGAAATCCTCCTCCCCCCCCCCACACCCTCCCTCCAGCTGCTGCGCGAGTTCTCACAATTCGATTATCGCTTGAGGGCCGCGCACACTCGAAATAAAGGTCGCAATGGGGGCCGGGCTCGTTTTCTCATTCGAGACCCCGTTTCGGGCGTCCTTGCATCTTTTGACTTCGGATCTCGACAATTCGAGCGGCCAATGTGGATGGAGTTCGGCCCCAGCGTTCACATGATCTCGGACTCGCCACAAGCACCCCTGCACTCTGGGGGGGCTGGCGCCTGACATTTCTGGCACAAGCTTGGGGGCCGCCCCTTTTTCAAAATCCCACCCTACCCTGCTCCCCCATACCTCTCACCCATTCTACACCATACCGTGAAGCATACTGCTCCGCCCGCCATCCTTCCTTCTACTCCCTCGTTCGAGCCTACGCTCCCCCCCATTTCCCTGCCGCCCCCCCCGTCCCTCCCAGCCCGATCACGAATTCAGACTGGTCTTTTTCTTTTCAGACGTGCCCATCTCCCGTGTGAAGGCGGTGTCAGTTGCGACGCCTCCCTTGTTGTCTAGATTTGCAAAACGCGGCTCCGTGAGCTGCTCAAGGGGCGTGGCCGAATCCTTTGTAATGCGAACTTGTTGCGCACGTATGCGATTTGTCCGGAGCACCCCTTTGCTCTAAGTTTTTTGGTCCACCCCGCGGCCCCATGCACCACCTTGTTCTCTCGAGCTCGAGACTTCCTCCCAGGCGGGCTCCCGGTCCCTCCCAGGCGCGTGCCATCTCATTTTTCAGACCCACCCCGGCATGGCTCGTCAGGCTCGGTTGCTGCCTGCCTCCTTCGGGGCACATACGCATGCCGTACGTAGCCTGTACAACTATTCTATCAGGGAGGTGCAGCAGCATAACTATGCAGCGGAATAACGGCAGGGGTCAGCCGCTACGCGGGAAAGGGGCTCGGGAAGGAGGAGGGAAAACGAGGGGAGGGAGGGAGGGAGGGAGGGAGGGACGAGGGAGGGAGGGGGGAGGGAAGGAGGAGGGAGGAGGGAGGAGGGAGGAGGGGAGGAGGGGAGTGAGAGAGGAAGAGGAGGAATAGGGGGTTGGACAAGCTAGGTGAGCAAGCGCCTGATTTGACGTCCTACCCCATCCCCCCCATCTCTTACCTTGGAGGATGAGGAGGACGAGGCGGCGGAGGAGGAGCAGGCGCAGGAGGAGGAGGAGCCAGAATACGAAGACGCAGGGGGAGGAAAGAGGAGACGCGGGGGGAGGAAAGAGGAGACGACGACGACGACGACGACGACGACGAGGACGACGACGACGACGACGACGACGACGACGACGACGACGACGACGACGACGACGACGACGACGACGACGACGACGACGACGACGACGACGGCGACGACGACGACGACGACGACGACGACGACGACGACGACGAGAGTCAACCAGCAAGGCCGTTGCGGGTCTTTCGCTTTGAGAGCCTCTTGGCCGTTCCTTGGGACCATTGTGGGGCTCCCGTGCGTAGGCAATGTTGTATGCATCAGTGGGTATTCTAGGGCAACTTTGAAGCCTTCGAGGCCCTCTCGTGTCCCTCTTGGGGCCTCCTCGGAGGCTGTGGGGGCCCTCTTTGTGCCATCTTCGGTTTGAAAGAGGGCGGCGTCGATTACGCCCAACCCCCCCTGAAAGCCGAACAATCTCCTCTTGGAGCCTTTACGGGGCGCTCGTGGGCCATCTTGGGGCCTTCCTGGGCCAATGTTAGGGCTCTCTTTGGCCATATTGGAGCCTTCTCGAGGCGTCCACAGTCTCTCGGAAACGAACAGGCGAGAAGGCACACATCAGTGAATTCCATTCGGCTTTGGATTTTGGCAGCTCGGGAGGTTCCTTGGGAGGCTCCGTTGCCACACTTGGAACCGTCTTGGGGTGGCCTGGCAGGACTGCTAGCAGAAGTGGAGGCCATCCTCAAGAACCGCCCCCCCCCCCCCCCCAAAACGTCGAACACCCTAAGTATATAGAGTGGAGCGCCCCCTCCCTCCTTGCCAGACAGCCAGCGTCAAGGTTTGATGTTTGCCGTCGACATCCGGGGCTCTGGAAGGTCGGCTCTTCGTCATTGGCCGTGTTTTGATGGTCGCTGGGCCCGAAATGGGTCTCCGAGGCCCAGGTTTTGAGACAAATTTGCCGTCGCAATGATTTCACAACGAAGGTGGTTTGGGTCCTCCTCCTCCTCACCCGCCTGTCTGCTCCTCTCGGCAGGAGCGGCTGTCAGAGGTGGGGTCCATCAGGCTCCAGGACCTTGCCGAGGACGCGTCCGTGAAGGACATTCGGAAGGACTTGCGCATGGGTGCTCGCATGAGGGCGGAGGCGACGTCCTCCCTCACGCATGCTGCTTCATCTCTCCTTCCTCCTCCTGTCTCTTCATTCCTGCACGGGTCGGGGTTGGGGGAGACCGCTTGTCCTATGGGGCCGCTCGAAGCGCACGGCGCGCCCCGCCACGGCAGGACATACCCAAGAGGCGGAAGCTCGCGGAGATCTTGAGGTCGCTATCCCAGGCGAGGGGGGGGAGGGGGGAAACGGCACATACTAAAGAGGGGGAGGAGGAGGAGGAGGAGGAGGAGGAGGAGGAGGAGGAGGAGGAGGAGGAGGAGGAGTGAGGTGGGAAAGGACAGGTGAGAATGTGGATGAGTCCGTGCATATTTGTATTAACACGTATAGTGCATGTAATGATTTGTGCTACCATTCCAAGGTACGTATCAATGCACGTAGTACGTTGTTAGGTTGTAGCATAGCACCTTGCATGATACAGTAAGCGGTACCGATTCACCACGACATAGCAGTACATCGAAGCATGATGATATATTAACCTCATAAGTTATATACATTCATGTGTGTATGTATGTCGAACAGTAGTGTAGTACGTCTCAGGTGTCATGACACATTTTGACTAGATTGCATGATGCTTCGTGTGTGTATTACATGGGGGGGGGGGCGCCCATAAGCTTTGGATACCTGAGACGAGAGCAGAGGAGGAGGAGGTACGGATGTGGAGGATCATATGTTTTGTTTTCCGATGGTTGCCATTGACTGTCGACATGGACAACATGCTCGGCTCCGTGGAATGGAATGGGACTCCATGCGCGACGCGATCGACCCCGGCGCCTTCCTGGAGATCGACGCGTGGACAAACCAGCACCACCGCAAGCCCTCCACTGGCGAGCTTCCCCCTGGCGAGCTCTCCGACACCAGCCGCGAGGCCGAGCAGGACGACGTTCTTTGGCACCCTCCAGGCTGGGCCGCACGAGCGCCGCCGCAGCTGGACCATCGCCTGCCGGTGTGCCCGCTGCCGCCGCCGAGGCTGCTTCCTTCCCCTGCTGTTTCTTTCCTCCGACGCCGCAGGGCGAGCTTCTCCTCGAGCTGGTAGAGGGAAACAGCCCCCACGGCCGCCGCCAGGGCAGGCACCCCGCCGTCCCTGGCCCCGGCGCCTTCATGCCCGCCCTCCCCCCCCCGGCGGGAGCGCTTGCCGCCGCTGCTCTCCAGGGCAGGGCCTCGCCGCCCCAGGCCCGGGCCCCGCCGCCGGCTGCGGTCGGGAGCCTGGAGCCCGGGGTCGCTGCACAATCGGGGAGCAGCCAGAGCGCCGGATCTTGCAGGATCCTGCAGGGCCAGGGCTGCACTGGGCCCGGCTTGCTGGCAGGATCTCGCAGGATCTTGCAAGGCCTGATTGGCCCCGGGCTGGCGTTGACCCGGGGCACTGCGCCCCCGATGCGTTGGCCCCTGCTGGGTGGTGCTTCAGAGCCACGGGCTGGACCTCTAGGCCTCCCAGATGGGGTGGGATCGGCGGATCGCTCCGCATCGCCGATGCATCGTCGATGCGGTTCGACGTGGAGCCCGATTTTCTCCACACTCCGATTTCGCCGATGCATCGCCGACGTCGGCGATGTATACCCAACGCATCGGCGATATATTGGAGATGCGGCGGGATCCTCTGACCTCATCTGCTCAGACCCCCATTGGGAGGCCTCAAATCAGCGCTACGTGTCGGACCGCCACGGGATTGTGCCATGTCCGCCACGTCGCAGGGGAGGCCAGGGACTGCTTCGTCCTCAGACACCAGCAGCCTCTCTTCCACCGGGGCCACGCCATGTCCATGGACAGGCGGGGAACTCTTTAGGAGCTCGACACAGGCAAACCTCAGCCGAAGGGCACACCTCCAGCGACTGCGCCTCCTCTTGGGGGGCCGCTTCCTGCCTACAAGGGGCAGGTGGGGGACTCGGCGGAACTCGACCCTGGGCGGCTTGCCGTCGCTTCGCTATGAGCGGCATGGCGATATGGCAGCCGAGGGTGTCCTTCGCCGCCGATTTCGCCTGATCTTGCGCCTTGGTGTGGCCCGTCGCCCACCACAGCCTCGCGTAGGCTGTGATGCGCCTGAGCTGTCGCGCCAGCCAGTCGGCCGCCTCTGCCAAAGCTTGTTCTTCAGGTGCTTCCTTTGCCTTGCTCATCTCCACGGTGTGCCACGCGTAGAAGAGGTAAGGAGGCGGGTAGAGGTTGTTGGGGTGAGAGGGAAGGAGCAGAGAGGGAGGATGCTTGAGTTTTTTGTTGCGGGAGGAATCGCAGGAGGATGATCCACGAGTTCGCACATGTTTAATGAAGCGCTTCGCTCACTCCGCCAGCCCATATTGCTGCATCGCTGGCATTTGCCCGCGTGTTCGTTTTCCCTGCGGCGCTGCGGCGCTGCGGGGGCGGTGGTGGGTTCGCAAAGGCTGGAGGCGGCGGGTTTGTTCTTCTGCTGCTGATGCTCTTCTTCCGCCTCCTGCTCCTCCTGCTCCTCCACCTCCTGCTCCTGCTCCTCCTCCTCATCCTCCTCCTCTTCCTCCTCATCGTCCTCGGCCTACCCTCCGATTCCAGCTCTGATCTTTCCCACCGACTTCCCGCTCTTTGGATCATCGTGCTGAATCCTGTGTATATTCGCGTGTAGGTATCCAGGCTGATGTGGTCGGAGCGTGATGCTCGACGAAGACATGGACGAGAGACCTTCGTGGGGAGGTTCATCTCATGGCCTTCGGTCGATCCCGTGGGTCAGAGTCCTCGTGAAAGCTTCTTGGGGCCTCGGAGGGCTGTCGGGGGCCCCTGGGGAGCAGTTTTGGGTCCTCCTGGGAGCATATTGAGGGCCTCTTGGGGCTATCTTGGAGCCTCTGGGGCTCGGGCCTCTTGGGTCCTCCTGGACGCATCTTAGAGCCGTGGGTTCGAAGTGTCCGTTCTGCATCCCCCTCTGGGCCCTCTCTTGGGGCCGTCCTGGGGCCCTTTGGGCCGTCTTGTAGGCCTCTTGGGCCGTCTTGGGTCTCGTTTGGGCCGTTTTCAGGCCCTTTTGGAGGTCTCTCGAGCCGTTTTGGGGCGATCTGGGGGCTCTCTTGGGCCGTCTTGAAGCGTCAGGAAGCCGAAATGGCGAGAACGCCACAATTGCTCGAAAACCGAAGGAACATTTATGTTATGTGCCTTTTAGGGCGCTCTTGGGAGCGCTCTGACAGAATTCTTGGCGCGTCTAAAAGGCGTCTTGGGCTGTCTGGGGGCCATCTTGCGAGGCGGCGCCCAGGAGCTGCACGCGCGCGCGAACGAGAAATCAGTGACATTTGTTACCGGAGATCGTGGCACGCCTCTGGCCCGTAGGGCCAGCGAATGTTTGAAATACGTATACGTTTGGCCTCAATAGGCCTCTCGGAGCCTCCAGGGTCCTCTGGAGACCTCTGCAGGGGACCTGAGGGGACTTCCACAGATCTGGACGTAGGAGGGGAGCATCTCTCCATCTCTCTCTCTCTCTCACTCGCTGTCTCTCCCGCTCTCTGTTGCCCCCCACTCCCCCCTCTCAGATCCGGGCGTCGCGCGGCGCTTTCGGCTGGGATTTGGGCCCACGTGCGACTCGCAGATCGACCCGGCCTAAGAGACTTTGCCTAAAGATGGGGCCAAGAGGTCCCGTCGAGTGACCCACGACGTCGAGTGATCGCGGCGCGGGGCGAAGCGCGGGCGCCTTGGGCAGGGGGTCGAGCTCACGTGGGGCCCACGCCACAAAAAAGCTGCGGCGTCGGGGGAGGCTTGGCGGCGCGCACGAGGCGGTGGCGCGAGGGAGTGGCGCTCTACGAGGGCTGGGGGGGGCATCTTGGCGGCCGCTTCTTAGAAGCTCTCCCCGCCTCCGGGCCCGCCCCTGCCTTCTGCGACCCCCCATCGCGCCCCTTCTTAGAATGCAGCCCCCCCTATCGCGCCCCCCCTCCCTTCCCCTTCTTCGAATGCCGCCCCCTCCCCCCCCTCTTCTCAGAAGGCCGCTCTCCCCCCTGTGCGCGCCGTCCAGAGAGGGCTTTCCCCCCTGCCCCCCCCCTTTGCAGCCTGCCCACATCACCGTTCAGTGCCACGGGGGGTCACCACTGGGGGGGCCGCCGCCTCGAGGAGGTTTGGCAGGCTTTGGCATGCTCGTGGGGGCACACTTCCTCGAGGCCGTGGCGCTGCCTCGAGGAAGTGGCGCACCCCCTGACGAGGAGGAGGAGGAGGAGGAGGAGGAGG